ATTTTTGGGAAGGTTAAGAAGTTAAATTCTGATTTCTTCAATCAATCAAACAGACAAACGAACAAACAAACCAAAAAAATAAGAAAAGAAAAAGATAGTGGTTACTTTTGATTATTGCAGTAGAAAAAATATGGATCCAAAGGCGAGAGCTGAGGTGTTGTGAACATTCCTCCGGCTAAGCCTACACAGCCCAGACTTTCATTCATTTGCGTTGGAAGTGGGAACAAGTTTTATGAGGGAGGAATAAGAAAATAGAAAAAAAATTCTAAATTGTAATTCCATTTGGTGGTAAAGAAAAGAAAAGAAAAGAAAACTGTAGGTATATAATCGTGTTGTTTTCTGTTCCACTCTGTTTTATTTGATTTTTGGGCTTATCCAATTTATGCATCCTTGAGACTGTTTGCATTGTCATGTTTGATAATCCAAGCAAAAAGATTCTTGTCTGGCCCACTAAAAGCATAAACTTCTAACTCATTTTTGCATTAAAGTTTTGATGCAGTCTACTTTCTTGTGCCTTGTAGTTGCTATCACTTTTATGTTTAGGCTAACATAGATTCTTGGGAGTTGCTTCTGGGGTTCGCATCGATCTGCTTTATTATGTTTGTTTTTTTGTAAATTTGACATTCCAGGTAACTTGAAGGTTGGAAAAAGGTTCAAAGCACTTCACGCTTTTCAGTTTGTAAGCTCATTTTGCTCCTAAATTAATAGTCATTTGACAATGGTTTGATATTTAATAAAGAAATCAAGGAATGCTCTTAAGTTGATTGATAGTTATCGGGTCGGGTTGGGTGTTAGACTATTAGGTCAATTTTTGTGAAAACTACCTCACAATCCTTTCAATGGAAAAATTAGACTAATTTTAGCAGCACCAATTTACAGCTTTTATTACATTCTTTGGTCCTCTAGAAATTTTTCTGTATAGGAAATTAATGAAGAGGTATCCATATTTTGGTGCTCCCAAAAGCAACTTGCTTCAATTGTATGCTGAAAGTCAACATCATAATCATCAGGGGGGATGAACCTCATTAAGAATGACACCATTTTTCTTGAGAAATAATAGAAAGATCTAGCCACTTGTCACTTGGTCGGTTGATAGTCTGTGATTGTTTGCGGTGGGGTGAAATACACAAAAAGTAGGAGCAGGAAAACACATGATACTTCTCTTTTAGTTCTGTGGACAAGGCTCTTAATTATACTTTGGTTGTAATGGATAAAGAAATTAAAAATGCCATCATGTGAAAAGCTTTTCTTGTGTCATTTATGATTCACAGGGGTAAGAAAATGACGAGGCTGTTATGGACAAGTCTCAGAGGTCCGACAGGGTGTTGTTCGAAGAGACAAGGCTTAACTCACTGAAAATGAGAGCTGCCCGGCTGCGAAGGAGGCTTCAACGGCGGATTGATGCCTATAATCATGCTCTTGATGCGGTATTGTTGGCGGTTGCACAGCATATGGATCAAGCTGCACTCCACCCTCTTCTCCACGCAAGAGGGCAAGCGAGAGAAAGGCTCCAGGCTTGCATAAGAGCGCTGGAGAGGGTGGAGGGTAGCATAACAAGATGCGAGGAAGTTGTCCAGGGGCTGAGGCAGAATATTGGGGCGATGCTGGATTTTTTCAGAATAAACTCCTTTCCCACGAGGTAGTGTCTCCAATGTTTGAGGGAGCGAACTAGCGCGTAAAACTCCTTGTCATATGTGGAGTAGCGCCTCCTGGTCTCATTTAACTTTTCACTGAAGTATGAAACTGGATGTCCTTCTTGAGATAGTACAGCCCCAATGCCAACTCCTGAGGCATCACATTCAACCTCGAATAGTTTCTCAAAACTAGGAAGGGCTAACACGGGAGCATGCGTTAAGCGTTCCTTGATTGCTTCGAAGGCTAGTTGGGCTTTAGGATTCCATTCGAACTTCTGATTTTTCGTCAAATCCGTGAGGGGGGCAGTTATGGTGCTGAAATCCTTCACAAATCGCCGGTAGAAAGATGCAAGTCCATGAAAACTTCTAACTTGCTGCATTGACGTGGGAACGGGCCAGTCCCTTATGGCCTGAGTCTTTTTTTATCAACTTTGATTCTTTCACTCGAGATAAAGTATCCCAAGAACTCCGTTTCCTGAGAAAAGAATTGGCTCTTCTCAAGATTCCC